AGCATATGTTACAGGATTTATATTTACAAATCCATATATCTGAGTTATTTGGCTGTTTCTACAAGTTTCTATATTTATAAGAGCACAGAGTACTAGTTGGGACTTTGTTTGCCTTTTCTATTTCTGCTCAAAGTGTAAATAGTTCATTGCCATTAACAAATTTCATGGGATTTGTTGTTGATCTCATTTTTACACTGAAATCTCCTTCTTACATTGAAATCTCCTTCTTTATCCCTACATCTTTCATGGACCTTTCTCTTATTCCATTTAGTGAGTCACAAATGTTATGCTACTTAACTTTTTATCCAATCTGAATAAACAGTACAAACTATTCTCTAAGAGTCATTTATTAAAAAGAACATAGGCTAATTTTTTAAAGCTCTACACTTATGCCTGATGTGTATACTGATGCATATGGTTTGCTTTCTAATTGCTATTCTATAAGAAACATCTTGGCAAGAAAGCTTTATAAAAGCTTCTTTCTCCCTAGTACTTATGGTCGGTTACAACTGGTTCACCAGCTATGGCCATTTATGGATTGGGATAAGCTTGCAGAAGTATCCACACTCTGATAAGTTCCAGACTAGACCACTGTAATGTAATGCAATACAATGTGGCTTGAACATAGTCTGGAAGCTGCAGCTGGTGCAGAATGTTGCTACCTGTGTGTAAATAGCCTCTCCGAGAGATCTGGACATACGATATGCAACTTCTACGAGGTATCTCAACTATTGTGTCCTACCTAATGTTTTGTTGGGACACAAGACACTGTCTTGCATGGCATGCTATGTCAATAGTATTCAGCATAAGTACAAAACCAGTGTGTATCTCATATGTTTTTGATAACCCAGTCATATACCACACCCCAGATGGTGGGTCTACAATGTGTGTGTGTGTGTGAGAATGGGGTCATAAGCACTGATATGTACAAACTTCAGAACTTGGAATTAGACTTTCTGTTTGGCTAATACCAAACATTTGCTTGAGGATAAATAGGATGATTGTCACAATTAATTTGAAGACAAGTTTGTTAGTCCTTAGTTGCACAGGGCAAGTAGCTAAGCACATATTATAACAACTTAGGTTTACAAAATTCTGAACTATACATGCAGTTAATAGAAAGCTATTACAGAATGTTGATAGGGAAGTTCAGAGCAGAGTATATCAAAGCATATATAGAACATTCATTAGTATCACAACTTCTGTATCTTCTATAATAAAATTTCCAAAATAACAGTGTATGTCCACTTTCTGAAGAGTCAAGGTACTAAGCCTGTCAGAAGCTATACCAATAACCCTTACAAAGTTTAAAAAGTTCTCATTGTTTCTAGTTCCTCTCAGTTAATGCAAAGTGGTAGAAACATATCACTCCCTTGACTGCTGTACAACTTCACCAGCTATCAACACTTTTTAAAGTGCAAGTCTGGTTTAGTGTTAAAGCACTAAAGGTCTGAGTACACTGTGATCCAAGAAACAGCATCTCCCATATGAACAACCATCCCCACCCTACTTTTAAAATATGGCATGATTTAAGATTATTATCCACTAAAATCAAAGCCTTTTCAGTAGATGCCATAGTATATTTCATCTTCTGATGGATATATGCTACTTCCAGTAGCAGGGGCAGTATGCCTATGTACATCAGTTATGCGGATTCACAAGTAGGAAGATGTTGTTGCACCTGCTTGTGGTTTTTTTCCATGGGCAGCTGTTTAGCCATTGTATAAACGTAATGCTGGAACAGAGGGAATGGGCCTGATCCAGCGTGGCTCATCAGAAATGAGGCAAACCCTCATGTTCCCCTGCATCCTTCAGCAAACCAATGAAGGCATGTGAGGTGAGACAAACCTTTTTGAGAACATGAAGGATTATCATTGCTACCAAATGCTTTTATTGGGTATTATTAATTTTTGTTCTGTTTTCAATTATTGTATATGGTGTAAGCTGCTTGTAAAAACTGAAAGGTACTGAACATGGTCAATCAAATAGAGTTGATATGAATGCAAAAATTCCTAGACTCAAATTTTTCCTCACCAAATTTTATCTCCTGATCTTGGCAAGCATCAAACAAAAGGATCTCCAATATGAAGGGAGACTAGAGAATGAAAAATAAAATGTACATAACCTTTCCCACAGAGAAACTCCATAAGGGTAGAGGTCAGCACACTTAAGTACCAAATTGCATTTTTAATCTTCATCAGTGTCCTTGCTGATACAGTATGGAAATCCCTTGGTAACAGACACATATTCTATTTGCATTCTAAAACAATTTTCTAAAGTCTAAATCATTTGTGCTTGAAAATGCTTTGATGCCTGATGTAATCAATTATTAGGATTCATGATGCAAACTTAATGGAAATGTTGGAGGGCTGACTTCTTTTACCTCTGGAATCTCCGGATGGCCAGTGCTGACTCAAACTGTTCTGTTTTCACAATCTCAGAACAAGAACTGAATATCATTAATGCTGGTCAGGTAGATACCACAGCCTGCATTTAACTCAGACAAGACTATGAAAATATATGCAATTCTTAGCTGCCCTTTGGAAAGCACAGTAGTCTAGATCTACCACAATTTATTATGAATTAAATGTGAACATTATACAATTAAGGTGTTCTTATAGTATTATCAGTGGCCTTTCAACATGTTCATATTACATAAATATTGAATCATCTTTCTCAACAAATGTAAAAATAATATTGTAAAAAAATAAAAGCAACAATAAATTAAGAAACATTTACCTATCAATTAAAAGTCCCTATGCTGACGGGGACCGGTCATTATTCTCCTATAATGCCAATCTTCTATCAGCTCCACTGGCTTCCAGTTGATGTCTGGACCCAATTCAAGGTGCTGGTTTTGACCTATAAAGCCCTGAATGGCTTGGGACCGGGATACCTGAAGGCACATCTCCTTCCTTACATGCCCTCACGCCCCTTAAGATCTGTGGGAGAGGCCCTGCTCTGACCTCCTTGAAGGAGGAAAAAAGGACATCTATTCGGAGTAGCCCCTTGTCTGCAGTGGCGCCCAGATTATGGAATGCGCTGCCCAGAGAGGTTCGCCTGGCACCGAGCTTATACACTTTTCAGCGCTCAAGATGTTACAAGAAAAAGCGCTGCTATACATGGAGCAGAAACACTTGATGTTCAAGTTAGATGCCAAAGAAACACACAAGATCATACCAAAAATGTACGTTGGCTACTGGAGTTCACCAAAGAATTTCACATCAGTCTGTGCATTGTAGACTATGCTTTATGGATTGTGCAGAACATGAAAAACAATGGATGGTTCTGAAAGAAATATGTGTACTTCATTTTCCTGATGCATAAAATGTATCATGGACAGATGGGATACTGGTAAGACAAGATATGGAGAACATGTTATTAAAAATGAATTAGGAGCAGAAGAAGGAGGAGTGACAATTGGTGGAAGATATAATTTAAGATATGCAAATGATACCATATTACTGGGAGAAAGTGGTAATGAATTGAAAGAACTCTTAATGAAAGTGAAAGAACTGGAAAAGCCAAACTGCCGCTGAACATGAAGAAAACAAAAATCCTAACAGCAGCAGATTTACACAACTCTAATATGAGACTACAGCCAAGAATGAGATTTTGAAGGATAGCAATGATGAAACTAGAAGATCATAAAGTATAATGTTGCTTTACTGGAGACTATGGCCAAGATCATCCACATTACTGTATTCCCAATCACCACGTATGGGTGTGAAAGTGGGCAATAAAGAAAGCTGAAAAGGGCAAAACTGATGCACTGGAAACATGGCACTGGAGAACTCTGGAAGTACCGTGGACTAACAGAAAGATGAACAAATGGGTCCTAAATCAAATCAATCACTGGGTTGCCATAAGTAGGAGATGATGCCGACAACTACTGCTACTACAAAGTCAGCAGATTTATGGAAGATGGTGTTAAAGGCCTGTTTCTATAGTGCTATGCTCTCCATCTGATCCAAGATAGATAATAAACTCATTAGCAGGAATGATGCTTATAGAGTGCATCCCTACTTTAAGTCTATTTTGGAGGTAATTGCTTAGTAAGATGTCAGCATGTTCAGTATGTAAAACTAACACATTCACCTTCCTGTATCCTCCATGGAAAAGTTTAGATACTACTTACAGAGTCTAGATCATGCATTAATACTGTGTGACCTCAACTGGTATCATATATTAATGTTCATATAATAGCATTCATTTTGGAAATTTTACTTCATGTACATCCCAAAAGCAGGTTCCTAGAATTATGAGAAAAAGAGAGAAATTTTACAGGAAAAGCAAACAATTCTGTCTTCAGTTCCTTTTGCAGAAATAAAATGGGGTATATGTATATGTATGGGGCACACATTTTAAAAGTAAGTATATGTGCCAAACAATGTTGTTATCCTCAAGAGAGATGCATTGTAAAAAATAGCTTGGTTCAGACAATCATTCAAGGCTTCATTAAAAAGCATGGTTGGAATGCAGTACAGTTTTCCCACTTTTGTACTCTACTTCAATGATCAAACTGGAATATGCAATACATGAGTTCGTAGATTACCTCTTGAAAGTTATTCTTTTGTGTATTTTACAAAAATGTTGTGTGACTTTGTTAACATATGAGCTATCATTCATGGAATGCAGCCAAATTAAATTTATTCTTGATTTGGGTGCTATTTCACAGCAAGCAGTTTGGTGCACATAATACCAGCAATATGAACTCCTACTAGCATTTCTGCACCTCCGCAAATGAATACACACTGTCACGTACACCTGATACCAGTTCTTATATAAGGCAGCAACACAGAAGAACAGATTTGTTTTATTTCATGTGAACTCCCACACAACATGGTGGTTTTGATTTTTAAGTAGCAATCTTCCTCCTACAGGGAACATAACCATGTAATTTGAGAAATATAAGGCTCTTCAGAATAAAGAGGTTGAAAAGAAGATCCATGCTGCAATTACAAGAGAGGAAAATAACAGTACATAAAAATTGAGTGTACCTTCCCTGATGGCTGTAAATGGAGTGCCTTCTTCTTCTTGAAGTCTTATCACCTTCAGTGCCACCAACTTGCCATTCACCCTGAAGGAAAAAGAACAAAGCACCATGCACACAAAATTAGGGTTCTTTAACTGCAGTCAAATTCTCCCCATTAACAATCCCATTCTTTCATCAGGAAAATCAATGCACAAACAACTTCGATATATTAACAGCCCTGATATATTTTTCTTCTTTTTTTTAAATGAAGTTGTCTCAAGTAATGTTCCCAATGATAGCATTAAAATAAAATGCTTTATAGCATACAGTAAACATCCAAATCATGTTTTTGAGGGTTATATGTAAACAGGGAGTTATCAGTTAAATCAATTCACAACACATTTCTGTTTAGAAGCTTCCTTTGCCAGCAAGCACATTCTCCAAACTAGGAGAAGAAAGTTAGGAATTTTGCATGCTCTCCTTCTGTACCTGGACCCTGGCTTGAAGTGTATTCCTGACCAGCTTTAAACTTCTACCATTTATGTATAACTATTTTAAAGTAATACTTTCACCATCAACTAACATTACACAGACCATTTTGAATCCTACTTAACTTGTACTTAATGCTTACATAGCCTTGAAAATAACTCCTCCACTCAATGGCCGTTCTGCTTTTCTATATTACTAGACTGCTCATGACTAAAAAAAGCAAAATAGATGTTTAGGTATTTTTGTTTGCAATCACATGTATTAGATTTCTAAATATGTTGGGGCTGATACATATTATGATGCAGTTATGCTGTATGAGTCACATACCAAAGTCTCTTCTCCAGAAGCATTTTTCTCTAATTGGGAAAAGCATCAATTACCATATATAATTTGGGAACTGAATGTATATAATACCATGCCCTGTCACTTAGAAGGCAAAAACTCACCTAATTGTATTGTCACTATGTTGAGAAGATTTTTTAAAGTCTTTTTGTTTCTTCTTTTTGAATAGGATACAGATTATTTGATCAAGTTTCAGACAGCAAAGAACTAACTGGTCAAGTCAAAAGCAAGGTCTGTATGCTTTTTGCTTTTCCAGCTGTTTCTACTAATGCAATGTCTAAATCCTCTCTTGCCTCATCAGATGCACAGATGTGGCTATCACAGTATTTCCCCACAGCCAACAAATTTGTTTTGCTGAAAATTAGCTATACCACCTATTAGAATCTGCTCATGCATCCATTGAGATGGAAATCAGATCAGTTTTTTTTCAACACCACCAAACAAATTCCTTATCTATATCTCTTGAGCGTTAGGTTATTAAATGACCATTTTTTCCTTATCTACGACTAACCATATAATGGAAACAGCCCGATCAAGGAAAAAAGTGACATTCTCCATTATGATTCTCTAGACTAAGTAATAATTAACACAAAATTACTGAAATGTGAATAGCTGCAACGTAAAATTTCTTCTGCCTTGACTGCTACCTCTTTTCAACTGTTCTGCCGTTATTAAATCCCAGTTTTTTTCACTTCCATTAGAACTCTGCGAATAAAAAGCATTCAACTGTTTTGCCATTCAAGCAATGTGATACTGTTCCTTAATACCCCTATACCCATTTTCTCAACAATGCAACACAAACATCTAACGCTTAAATCCAAAGTCATTCATGGTCTCATGCATCTTTCTGCCTTTACATCATCATATATTCTTGTCCAGGACATTTATTTCTACAACTTCATCACCTTTAGCCAAGGAAAGATCTCATGTGCCATTAAATAAATCCATCTTTTCTCCCTTGCTGACCTATAAGCATTGAAATGTCCTTCCAGACATTTCCCCAATTTCAAACCACCTTTGGCATAATTTCCTAGTTCTCATTTCCTACAAATTAAACTTATGTATATTCAATTGAACTGACTGCAACCCTGCCCCATGACTCTCATTCTCATCTTCCTGCTCTGCATGTGTTGTTTTTCCTCTATGACAAGTTTAGATTTATTTACACTATTCTCTGAACTGACATTACAGTCCACAGCTGAAACTCTCCTCTTCCTCCATGACTTTGGTATATTCCCAAGATTTCCTTATAAACTGGATCAAGAGGTCTGGGATGGCTGGCCTAGAAGCTGTTAAAAATACTTGAGCTATTCTTTCCTGATACTCACATATTTGGGAAACTATGTTATAAATTTATTATATGCTCCTATGACAACCCAAATTCAAAGCTGATTCTTCTCATTCGTTCATTCATTCATTCATTCATTCATTCATTCATTTATAACATTTTTATGCCGCCCCCATCGCAACTAAGCCTCAGGGTGGCTCACAACAAAAGCAAAATACATAAATATAACAATTATACAAGTAAAAATGAATACCCGGTGCATCTCGGCTTAAAAGATTTAAAATCGTATAAATACAAATAAATTAACAATTAAATTGAGTTTTAATAACAATGAAATGATATTTCATGAAAATGAGTCTAGATTTGAGGACTGCTGTATACAACTTCTTAAAGTTTAGACTGCAAACTGACAAAAGCAGATTCAATTTACTCATAAAATCAGCATTCAATAATTATAACTACGCCTGGAGCATGATCTTTATGTTTCAGTATGAATTTCTGACTTATTGTAGTACAGATAGATCCTATACTTAAATGAAAGTATAGGATTTAGTAATGGAAGAAACATATGGCCAGGTAAATTCAGACCAATTTCTAAAAGAACATGGAAACTTCCATTTATCTCAATTTAGAATTCTGACTTTTCTTTTCCAAGCCCATTTATTATCCCAGGACCAGTATTCAGCCAGCTCACACATTTATCTAGAGAAGAATCCAATACACATAGGTAGCACCTACTGTTGTACATGTTCAGGCACACTTAGCTCAACATTTTTCTTCTTTTTCTTTTAGCTGGGAAAAGGATCATGAGTCGTGAGCTTGTGTATGCAAAATTTTAATGCACTGAGTATAGATTTTAAGTATAAATCAGTATTTTTTCAGGTACATTATGTGCATAATGCAAGTATACTTACTTGCTTTTGCCTTTGTATACTGTGGCATATGAGCCTTCCCCTAGTTTTTCCAGTTTTTCATATGAGTCTGCCTTTCCAAACTTGGGACTTGTTGGCTAAGTAGGAAAAGAAGAAAGGGGAATGATTTTTTCAGCATTCACACACTAACACTATATTCAACCAACCATGAAGAATAAATGCTATTACCAAAACTAATGAGATTATACTTCAGATATTTAATACTTGATATTGTCAATTAGCAAGGGCAATGGCTAATCATATCCATCTATACATCACTCAGCACTCCAGATGGTCACTGCCTATTTCAAGAGTATTACTGTATCAGTGCAAACATCAGAAAGGTTTAGTTCACAGAAAAATCAAATCTGGATTTCTTGCAGTGTTTGTGTGGATATGAATATTTAACAGCATATATATTTTAATTTATCACTCCTTGAAAGGCTATAATTTTCCTGTATATAAGCAAACTGACAAAATGCAATCCAAAATTCTCAGGAAAGCCATAACCTTGCAAGGAATCTAGACATAGTTTTCTTAACATCTGTTATGGACTAGATCTGTACATGTTTTAAAGACTTAAGTGAGAATACAATTCTAACGTAGGAAGAAAGCAGATGTCCACAGATGATATCACAGTTTTCCCTCACCATTAAAAAACTAGCTTGTCTATTTGCTTCATCAAAAGTGAATGGAGTGCCACTTTAAAAGTGTAACCCAACAGAATAGTGCTGTTTCCACAACATGACAGCACACTATGAGGCTGCAGCATGCATGGAGTTGTGGGGGGGAGGGGGGTTGTTACTTGGAAATGCCAAGTTTGCACAACACAACTCATAGTTGCATATGTTCCCATCAAAAGACACTTAGCCCTGCCAAAGACTTTATTTCAAAAAGAAGCCTTTACTTTTGACAGCTGTCAAGACTCTTCTTATAAATAGGGTGGATTGCACTTTCCTGAGCACCTAAAGGCTTAAGGAGGTAGAGGAAACTAAGAACTAGCAAAACAAAACTTAACTTAGGGAATCTTACTGCCAAGGAGGTAATGTAGTTGGCACTTCCCTTTCAGAAGCAAACATCTGCTCATGACTTTGCTCTTGACAGTTTGCTATTTGACAGCAAGTGAAAGCAAAATAATATACGCATACCCTGGCTTTACTACATTCATAGACCAGGTCAATGACCAGGCAAGGTTTTGCATTTAGAACAGTTGCCGTTAGTGACAAGTTAAAAAAAACCTATCAGCATAGGTTTCTGCTGCCAAAAAAAAAAAAAAAAACCTGTTAAAATAGGTGGCAAGCCACTTGGACACTTGGAGAGACTGTCACTGTCTGTCACTTTGGATATTACGAAAACTAATCTGCTAAAAGAAAGGAAGTTGCAACTCTGCTAAAATGGTCACAGGGAGGATGGAAAAAGGAGTCCTGCCATACAGGTACCTGGGATACTTGCGGAAGGACTTAGGGGGAAGGATGAGAAGACAACTGATGGTCAGCCCAGTGATCATTGTGCACATGACAGTTTGTTACTTAAACCAACAATCTGTAGCTTATTCCAGGGTGGACTGTATTATCATATGAACTCATTCAGTAACTTACCCAAGGCCATATTAGTTCATAATAGAAGGGTCACTTGAGAAGCAAAACTAAAGTCCTAAATCAATATGGAACTGAACTCCAGGTGTTTTGCTGAAAGTGATGTTGTATATATCATTAGAAAGACTTAATTCATATTACCTCGTATTACCTCACAGAGGAAGCATACCATGTAGGAAAAGATATGACACAAGTCATAATAACATATAACTGCAGTACTGAAATAATCCATGAGTGGTTTGAGAGAAGGTTTTTATTGTATAACCACCATGCTGATTCATGAAATATTATAAGGAACCCAGATAATGCAACTATAATTTCCCAAATAGAATCCTCCTGTATTTTGCCAACACAGCTTCCATCTTTTTTCTTACCACAAAAAATACATTTAAGAGTAAAAGAGCAAAGTAATTTCACAAATTTTTGTAGATGTAAACAGGGAAATATACGATTAAGACAGAGTAGGACGTGTTGTTCATGGGGAAAGTGGATGATGTATTGGGGGATATCCTTCCTGTATCCATTGCTTGCCCTGTACGTCCGGTTGCAGAGTCATTTCATTTTCAGCAATGCATATTCTTATTATTAATCAAACCCAGTGTCAAATGAATTCACAACTAAATTATTTCCTGGAGAGAGATACTCACATCCCCACACTTTAATTAGCTCCTTCATGAGAAAATTCTATTTTTATTATTACTATGCATTTTTGTGGCTTCGTGCACCCACTAAAAACAGCCACACTTTCACCCAATTAAACACACAGCATTCTTACAAAGATACAATTGGACTAGTGCACAATCTGATCCATTGATAAAGAGAACCCCCCACCCCCAAAGACTACTCCTAGTGGCTACAGGGATAAAACAATATATTGTCTTAAAAGGCATAGCTTGTGATGAGTGAGAAGTTTTTATTGAGACACAGGGAGGACAGCCTCTCTCATAACAAAGCTCATCCTTCCCTTATGCAGCTAGAAAGTTCGGTTGGGGGGACCCTTTCAATCTGCAACACTAACTTTCTTCTTAAATTCATTGCCAGCTACGGAGATATCTGATGGAGACTGCAGAAGGAAGCAATCCCACCCCTACTCATGTGTGGGGATCTTGATAACAGTTGCACCACCACCACCACCACCGCCCTCTTATAATCCATTACGGAAAAAGCAGAGGCTCGAAGGCGAAGACATAAGAGGGAGAAGAGGGACAGAAAAGGGAGGGAGTCTTCTTGGACACTTGAAGGTAAGATGCTGCTGCTGTCTCTTCCATTCCCCAAACCACTTCTATGCCGCCCACACTGTTCCGGGGCACTGCAGTATCTAAACTTCCTAATTGTTCTATAGTGGAATGATACTTTTCATTTTTCAGGGAGAATGTAGCAGCTTTGAGCAGCACTAGTGACACATTTTCTCTTTTAGGTTCCCACTCAACCATCCTGACCAGGAAGAGTCTGCTACCACTAGAACGAACACACACTTGCAACACCCATTTTAGCTCTGCAGTGCCCACATATGGAAGCAGCCAATCTTCTTGTTTCTATAATGTATAAAATGTACTGAAGGGCCAGTGGTCTTCTTTACCCAGCATCCTATATCCTATATCCCAGTCTTCCCCAATCCAGTGCTATCCAGAAGTGTTGGACTGCAACTCCCAGTTTTCCCAATATCTGGAGGCTACTAGTTTGGGGAAGGCTGCTATATACTCAGTTAGTGAACAGACATGTAGCCTTCCTACAGGAAAGAATTTTAATGTCAGAAAATCCCAAAATTCTCCAGTAAGATTCTTCCAAGATCCCTTCCTGGTCATTAGTTATTTTAAAATTATTTTATCTTGCACATTTGTTGAAGAGAGTGGGGCAACTTTTATTTCATCTCAGTTCACGCTTTTAGTCACCTAAACTTGTGTTTGTGGTTTCTGTTAAGAATGCTGCTTATTTCAAACTAGCAGAACAGATAGATTCTCTATGTATTCTGTAGCTACCATGGCCTCCTTTCTGTACTTGTCATGTTTCTCAACAGAGGAATCAGATACCTGGCTCAAAATGGCAGCAGGTCCTTCTGCTACAGAATTCAAAATGGGGCTGATGTTCCCGTACTTGAATTAACAGGATTAAGTGTCTCCACTGAAGCAAAAGATCTTAGCAGTGAGGACACATTAGCTGTATTTCTCGTTATGGAGACAGCTGACTATAGTACCTATGTACCTTTACCTTTGCAACACAGTCTCTGGTGTATTTTTAGTTTTTCTGAGCAGTAAAGCACAGATGAGAAGACACTACTCAAGTTAATAGAACCTTTTTAACCTATCTAGTAGTCTCACACAAATAATAAAAATACATGGGCCATTTGTTAATGGTGCATACACTTTTATATGCAATATTTATAAAAATAACACTTTAAAATTAAATGACTTCTTTTTGTTTTTGATAAAAATCTTAAAGGACAAATGTATAAGATTGGGCCTCATCTTCCATTTGTTTTATCGAAAGAACAGCAACATAATTTCATATACGTCATTACAACTGATTCAAGGTATTACTTATTTTGTACTCTAATATGAGATTAGAAGGGTAAGGTGGATTTTTTAAAAAGATGTGAGCCTCAAGGGGAAACTCAGTGAGGTAAAATCATTATATCTTTCCTTAAAATTAAGCTATTTGCAAAGGAGAGCACAGGGTAAGGGAAGTGGGTGGAGAAGAGAGTTTGTTTGTTTAAATCAGGAGGACTTGAAGAGAACAATTCCCAGCTTAAAGAAAATACAAACTTCTCAGACAGATGGCACTCAAAAGCAGGAAGCTGCCTGAAAATAATGGTGCATCCTTCCCCCTTCTGACATGTGAAATCTTTCAGCAGGCCTCTGACATTCAGGTTTGTCATGATGAATTCACCAATCCCTCAAAAGGGAGCATCAAGCAATTCTTAAATATCGACAGGTAAAAGCAAATTAAAGCATTCCTTCTCCTGGTTTTTTTAAACCTGCACAATACAAACTTTCAAAATAATCCTGCCATTACTGCTAAGCATTTTACTGTTTACTGCCCAACCAACCACAAAAGAAAAACAGTGAGACTTGGGAAATTATAATTTCTTGCAAAAGCATATAAACCCGGATTTTGAAATTTGGTTTGCTAGAAAGAAGTTTACAATTGCATTTTCCGTCACCAGCATTTAAACTTAGGGGCATTATCTAATTAAATTAATCATGCTGTGAAGGTAGCTAATGATTACCTTGAGATTGATTTGAACCAAACAGAAAAAAGCCAATGAGAAAAAATTATTTTCTGCTGACTAGTTGCTTAAAATGGCTCCTAAATTAGAAGAAAACATGGGAGAGCTATGTGTAATTGTTCTCCCTGGTCCTGATTCACAATGGGGTTGTGGCACTTCAGAAAGGATTTGAGCTCCAATTCCACCAAGAGGCAGGGATGTCAAAAATGGAACAAAGTTTCATTTCAATAAATATATATTTTTCTGCAGGGGATGAGGTAGAATTTGCATAATGTGCATGGGAAGGAAATTAAACCCTCTTCTAAATCAGCAAGGTCCCAATCCAAATTGGAGATTTATACGAGAATAGGGGAAATAATCATGCATTGCTTCACTATACGTGATTAGGATAACATTTAGTTAAGCCCTTAGAGCAGGGGGCCCAAACCCCTGGGTTGCTGACCAGTACTGGTCCGTGGACTGTGAGGAACTGGGTTGCACAGGAGAAGGTGAACAAGAGCAAGAGAGCGAGCGAAGCTTCATCTGTCGGCATGACCTCCACAATTCCCCTCCTCCTTTTGCTCGTGGGCTGCTGTGGCACCAAGGCACAGGAGAAGGAGGCAGGGTGTCAAGAGTGCTCTGACCAACTGAATCCAATCTTTTTCAAACGGGCTAAAACTCCTCTGACACATGCCTTGTTTCACCAAAGAGATGACGATGCGAGCTGCCCCTCAACCAACAGTATCTAAAAGCACATGTGGACTGTGACTCTCCGATAAAGGCACTCCAATAAAAAAGGCGCAATGACCTTAGACCAATGGGAACAGGTGGATTGAGGTGAGGGGGAGAGATGGACCTAACCAAAAGTGCCCGGAGCTGCCAGCCCACCACCTGCTCAATCACCTCGCCCAGGAAGGGGATATTGGCTATTGTTCTAAAATTATTTGCATCACCCAGGTCCAGCTCTGGCTTCTTTAGGAATGGTGTTATCACAGTCGCCTTTAAAGGGGCTGGCACCACTCCCTCTCTCAAGGAAGCGTTCATGGCCTCCTAGACCCAGGGGCAGACCTCCTCTCTAGATCTCCCAACAGGTCATGATGGCAAGGGTGAAGTGGGCAAGTAGTGGGCCAGACCTGTCCAAGCACCATGTCCACATATTCTCTGAAAATAAATACACTACTTAGGAAAAACACAACATGTTCATGAATCTGCTTCATGATTTTACAAATTATTGTGGTATGAGAATGTTTGCTTGATCATAATGTCCTATTTGGCTATGGTTCAACATTGTGAACCCAACCCTCCTGCAGCAAAACATCTACCTTCAAACAAGAATATTTTATTTTGTTTCCTGAAGAACTTTCTTGATATCAAAGCAGCATTAGGTGTTCTGGAACACACCAACACCTCCTCCAAGTGGTAACTACGGTATATAGTTCCTAAGAAATTCCATGATGAAAATGGACTAACCAAAAGATTAAAAAATTACATGGAAAAGAGACCCCAAATTATACATCTTCTAGAGTTAACAACAGTTTATATTTCAGATATGTCTCCTAACTGTTACAGAAGATGCTACTCGAAAGGTTGCATTAATATATGCAATACAAAAAGGTAGTTTGAATAATGTTGGTTCATGTTTATACTCAACACTAAAAGACTCATCATTAAAGCAGAAATAACAAGGAATTTTAAAAAGATACATAATCTCTGCATACCATTTGGTATACAACGACACTGCTATTAAAAGCACCAAAATATTTGGAACTTGCTCAGGGAATTTGTTAGGGATAAATATGGTATGTCTGGACTTACAGAGCTAGGACTGGAATGTCGTCTGATTTTAGGAGATTCTTTCCCAGTAGATGAAGTCTTGAAGTTAATGCAGGCATTGTTCTCTGAATGGACCCTCTTCACTTGATTATTTGGCTTCTCAAATGGATCAAACGTGCTCTGTGTCCTTTGAACTCTGACTTTTTTGTCTTCTGGAATTGTGTCCAAGGGTTTGATCACTGAATCCATTCCTTGGCAATTCCGTGTAGACATCTTTGTGACACATATCTAAAAGGAGGAAGGAAAATAGCCTGTTACATAATTTGTACCATAGCTCAGTGCCAATCCAGGCATTATGGGATAGAAAAACTATTTACAAATCCAGTTCTTCCAAACTAAATGCATGAACTATGAATGCTTTCAGAAAAGAAAATAGGTAAATATGATAGGTTTACCAGTTCCCAAACCTTCCATCTCCCTTGTAAAAGGCATTCGTGTCACTTAATAAAGCAAACCCACTTACAAGGAAAACTGGTTTCAAAGTAAGGCACATGAAAAGATACCTCCACAATGAGGCTCATCTGGTCCCAACTTTACTATCCTTTCAGCACAAAGCTAAGAAAGGCCTCCATGCCAAGCCATACCTGTGATTTAACAGCTCTAAATAGCATTGGGTTGTGAGGAAGCAGTATTCACCTATTTTTAGCCAGCTGAGCTCTACAAACCTGTCTTAACTGTTGAATTGTTAAAATCCAACTTTAAATCTCTAGTAGAATTTTATGATGCTTTCACTGTGGTTCCTATTTTAGAATGTATATTTTATTGTATTTTATCAATTGCTGTATGCTGATCAGAAAGCTGTACACAAAATAAAATTAACAACAACATCATCATCATCATCATGATCATCATCATGATGCTGGAAAGAACCAGCAAGTACCAAAGAAAGTTAAACACCCTCCCCATTTCATCTTCAAATCTTCCCTGTATACTTTCTTTCAGCCTTAATTCCTTGTTATATCAAATGTGAGATTGGAACCCTTTTCAAAGTCATAATTATGTTACTCAAAAGGCACAGTCCAATCCAGAGACCCATCACCTTCCAAAGGGTCACAAGCAGCTTATTTATTTATTTATTCAATTTATATCCTGCCTTTTTCCTACAAAGGGCTCAAGGCAGCTTACATCATTCTCCTCCTCCGTCTTATCCCCACAACAACAACCCTGTGAGGTAGGTTGGGCTGAGAGTCTGTGACTGGCCCAAAGTCACCCAGTTGGCTCCATGGCTGAGCAGGGACTAGAACCCAGATCGTCTGAGTCCCAATCCCATGCTCTTCACCACTACACCACACTGGCTCTCCTATGCAAGGCAGGAGGAGTTTGGAGGCAAAGGTTATCTCCAAGTTCCTTCCACTCTGCAAAACACTTAGACTGATGACTTGATTCCTCAGGCATGAGGCTACAGGATCTCCGTGAAACTTCATATTAAGACAGAGCCTGTCCCCTCTCCCTGCCCCCAGAAAAGCCTCCTGAAGACACAGCTGGTGTGGTTCTTTCCATGTAGCTGTGTGTGGGGGGGGTGATTTTCTGACCTCATAGCTGGGTCTGCAAGAAATCCTAAAGCTATACAGACTCACCTAATGGACATCGTATTTCTCCCAAAAAAATTAACAGCACAATATAAATAAAACAAAATAATTAAAGTAAAAAAAAAAAAACTTGACAGAAGCCTTATGTAAAATTTAGCAGCCCTGTGTTTGTAACACTGCCACATCACTAAGCCTCAACATCCAGCTGATATCTGCCTCATAGTATTGATTTCCATTTGTTTAAAATTAGATTGGGCTAAATTAAATAAATGATACCAATTTACAGATACACCATTAGAGCATGCATCATGTAATTGTGTTGTAAAGCAATGCACACACAGTAAGACTACTACTATGCTACCCAGAAAATCAAAAAGGTAAATCCATATCCTAGCCCTGCCACACTGGAGCCCAGAGTTCAATAGCTCAATAAAGAACGTCAATTCACAGGTCTCATTTTAGTTCAGCTACCTGTTTATACAGATCTATACTATGTAGTTCATCCACCAAATTTTCTGTGGGGCTTGAGTATCTACATAAATCATGACCCAATACTACAAGCATTGCTGAATCCCAATAGAAGCATTCAAGGCCAAAACTATTGTGCCCACCTTGGGATCATTTGTTTAATGACATGTATTTATGTATAAGCTTGGTGAGCAACACTTTATAAAAGTAAATAATCTTTTACCATGACCATCTTGATTTTATCACTTCACATACTGAGGGAGCATGTGGTATAATCATTACAGAGGTTGACTGAAATTTGTGAGAACTAGATTCTACTCCCCACTCATTCATGAAATTCACTAGGTGACTTTGGGCTAATCACTAACTCTCAGATTAACTCACCTCACAGAATTGTTGTGAAGATAAAATGGAGAGGAGAAAGACAATGTAAACTGTCCTGGGTCCCTTGCAAGAGGGGAAAATATAGACTAGACATGTAATAAAATGTATTTTATTTTCAGACAGCTGACAACATTCAAACCTTGTCTGATACAGAATGGCAGCTGTCAACTTCTTAAGTCCCCATATAATACCCAGCAATAAGGCAAAGACTCCTAGATTAGCAGGAGCCAATCTCAGAGCACACTCATGAATGTGAGTGTAGGCATTAAAAATGCAACATTTTTTAAATGATCATTTGGATAAACATTTCCAATTGAGTGGCTCTCCAAAATCCAAAGCATTCAAACCAATGCCTATTAATTTTCAGTAGTCTGCGACATCTGTATTTTATGTAGCTTAAGCTCTGAAAATGCACCTCCAACTACTAAAGCACAAAATCTCTGATACATTCCTAATCCATCTGCCCATGCAATCACCTGTGAATCTTTTTACAAAGGAAAATCTGAGAGATACGGGTTCAGTGGTGGCGAACCTATGGTACACATGCCACAGCGGGCACACAGAGCCCTCTCTGTCAGCACATGAGCCAAGTCACCCCAGCATCGCCCCAGAAGCCGAGGATTGGGTAACAGCGCACACAGAGGCCATGCACATACTTGGAAAGGAGTACAGCGCCAAGCGATGACGTCACGAGCCATGACTCATTATCCGTGACACATCCAAGCTTTCCCATGGCCAGCCAGAACGCTGCCAAGGGTATAATATATGCTTGGACTGGCTGTGAGTTGTTTTTTCTAAACTAAAACCTCCGTTTTCAGGTTTTATTGCAGTGTTGGCACTTTGCAATAAATAAGTGGGTTTTGGTTGCAGTTTGGGCACTCAGCCTCTAAAAGGTTCACCATCACTGGGTTGGGGTTAGAAAAACAAGGTGTCCTGGTATGTTCTGTATGGTTGGAATGTGTTTAGAATGGGCAGAAATGATGAACAGTGCAAAAAAAGTTACTCCAGGAAGGCTTTTTCAAAATTGTACTCTTTTCAATGGTATTTTAGCCATATAATAGGGTTAGCGGTGTGCACCAGGGTAGGGTTAGGGTTAGAAAAAGGAGGTGTCCTGGCATGATTTTGATGCTTGGAATGTGTTTAGAATGGGCAGAAACGATGAGCAGTGCAGAAAAAGCTACTCCAGGAAGGCTTTTTCAAAATCGTACTCTTTTCAATGGAACCTTAGCCCAATATTAGGGTTGGGGGAGTGCATCAGGGTAGGGTGAGACTTAGAAAAATGAGGAGTCCCGGCATGATTTTGATGCTCGGAATGTGTTTAGAATGGGCAGAAATGATGAGCAGTGCAGAAAAAGCTACTCAAGGAAGGCTTTTTCTAAGTGGCCACTTTTCTATGGTATTTTAGTCCTGTATTAGGGTTAGGGTTGAGCAACAGGGTACGGTTAGGGTTAAAAAAAGGAGGTGTCCTGGTATGATCTGTATAGTTGGAATGTGTTTAGAATGGGAAGAAATGATGAGCTGTACAGAAAAAGCTACTCAAGGAAGGCTTTTTCAAAATCGCCCCTTTCAATATTATTTTACCCCTATAGCAGGGTTAGGGAAGTGCACCAGGGTAGAGTTAGGACAGTGATGGTGAAGTTATGGTACGCATGCCACAGCCGGCACGCAGAGCCCTCTCTGTCAGCACATGAGCCAAGTCACCCCAGCATCACCCCAGCAGCCGATCATTTGGTAACTGCGCACACAGGCGCCATGCACATGCTTGGAAAGGAGTAGCGGCGCCAGGCAATGATGTCACGAGCCATGACTCATTATCTGCTACTCGTCCGAGCTTTCGCATGGCTGGTCAGTGCACTGCTAAGGATATTTATATGTATTTGCTTGGGCTGGCTTTGAGGTGTTTTTTCTAAACTACAACCTCCATTTTCAGGTTTTACTTCAGTGTTGGCACTTTGCAATTAATAAGTGGGTTTTGGTTGCACCAAATTGGGATCAATTTAAGATATGCAGATGATACCATATTATGGGCAGAAAGCAGCAAGTGAAAGCAAAAGGGCAGAAGCAGGACTGAAGCTGAACATTAAGAGAAATTGGAAGTGTAACAATCAAGGAACTAGAAAAGATCTTCAGAAGCGTAAGGGCATTTCACTGGAGACCAAAATCAGCTACCCTATTGGATCCCATAAAGGAAGTTATAGCCTTGAGCTTAACAAGAGCTGAGCATGGCAGTGAAGGATAGGACATTTTGGAGTGCACTCGTTCATAGGATTACCATAAGTTGGGGATGAATTCAGGGAAGATAAACTCTAAATATAACTAAATCTAGATGCAACACTGTGTGTGGAACTACTGCTTCAGTTCAAAGAGGCTGTTCTGGCCATGGCACATGGGGAAGGCAAATGTAACTTAAGTGTTTGATGTTTTAAAAAAACAAGACAGTACACAGAAGTCTGCTTTGATTAGTCTTACTTTGAATTTCAATTACATTTTTGGAGAGTTTTTCTTCTTTCACAACAAAAATAACTTTGCAAAGTATATCTACTGTCTTTGATTTTTATCTGGCACAGCAACAACAGTTTGAGATGACATATACTAGACAACTGTCTCTTTCATTCCATGTTTAACAAACAGCCATGACTCCAAATTGCCTTAAAACTTTTTTTCCTGTAAAATTAATTTTATTAGAATGTAATATATACAAAGTGACAGCAATATTCCCAAAGATTCCTCAACAGAAAGATCAGAATGCATGCTGCAGATTAAGAACATACTTTGCAATGCATATATGACAAACCCTAGCCAATGGAGCTGGGTGAGAGACAATTTCAGTACGGAAAAGCAAGTTAA